ATGAAACAAAAATGCAAAAAAGGGTAAAGTATAAACCCACGAATTATCTAACAAGTCCGTGAGTATAAAGGCAAAAACGAGCAAAACAGAAGCTCAGAATGACTAAGTCAAAATAGAAAACTTCTTAATATTGAAAAGTTTAGACTAAGTATGAACTTAGTCATAAATAATTTTTCATTTATACAAAACGTCCCGAAAAGGTCTGGGGACTTCTCATTTCCAAAAACTAAACCCCCAAATGGGACCGGCAGTTATAACCACATTCCACCAAAAGAGAATAAAAAGTGAAGTTACATTCCATAAACTTGTCACTAAGGAGCTGAAGAAGGATATAAAGCAGGGTCACCAGCAGCAGAAAGTTCAAGTTGGCTTGAAGGAGTTGGAACATTCACCGTACCCATATCATCTTCAATATACTTGGGAGTATCAGCCATGGGATAGGGGAAGTCTTGGCATTACTGAGTCTTTTCAATAGTTTCTTTTATCTTAGCTAATTCAGCTTCCAAGTTAAAACCCTCTTGGCTAGCTTCCACAAGGGTGTCATGGCGAGTGTTTAAAATTGCTCAACTCACTTCTATTGTAGTCTTGTCCTCAAGAATCTCGTAATCTTTCTCCCATTGATCAATTTCGCTTTTGAACTTTTCATTCTCAGCCAAGGCAGAATCATAAGAAGCTTGAAGAGGAGTACGCGAACTTTCTAAGGAACTGACCTTATCAGAAGACTCACGGAGATCTTCTTGAGTCTGAGTCAAAGTTTGCACAAGTTCACTGGCATAAACTTCTTTCTTACTTAACAAAGCCCCAAATTCTCTGATCTCTTCACTAGCCTCGGAGAGTTACTTAGAAAAAGATGTTTCGAGGAGATTCTTATCTTTGCCAGCTTGGTTTGAGGAAGCCTTTTCAACTGCCAACTCTGAAGTTAAAACCTTTAATTGCTACTCTAAGGTGCACTTGCTCTCTTCTAACACTTCCATATCAATTTGAAGGCTTTCATATTGTTCTCTCCAGTTGTCCGCTTCAATTTTGTAATCATGCATTAACTGCTCCGTGTGGGAAACCCTCTTCATCATCTCTGTAAAACAAGGTTGATCTAAAGAAAAGAGAGGAAGGGTAAGAACCTTAATAGAAGAAAGAAATAATAAAGCATGAAAAGGAATACCTTTAGTGATGACTGCACTATGTCATTCATCCAAGTCAAAGAGTTGTGACTCTCAAGCTTGGATCTCTCAATTGGACCAATCAGAGGTTTCAACAACACATCAGCTCGACTTGAATTTCTCAAAAGATTACCATCGGTAGGAACCTCGATGATAACTAGCTTCATAGCTCCACTTCCACTTAAGGAACCAAATTTAGTGTGATGAACATTTGTAGGAGGAACTGTGGAAGGAGTCAAAATAGCCTGGGGCAGAGCAGCAACGGCAACAGTCACAACTGGTAAAGAAGATGTCATAGGAGCAGGCATGGAAAATGAGGCAAGGGGAACTTCATAGAAACTGGACCCAAACTTTCATTATCAAACCCATGAGCAAAAAGCTGATCGACAGAATCACGAGCAGCCGCGGGAGTGTCATCATCGAAAATCACCAAGGTGGTTTCAACAGGCTCGGTTAAAGGAACAGAACGAGGAGGAGACGCTTCATCATCTGAAATAATGCGTCTTCTAGCCCGAGGCCTTTTAACCAAGGAATTCTCATCATGTTCCTCTTCTTCTCCAGAGTCTTAGGTTGCATCTGCTTTCCTTTTCGATGAAGAACCCAAGATTCTTTCTCGGGCTCTTTCCAAAGAAACTCTGGAGGCCGCAATTACTTCAGCACTAATACCACAAATGGGAAATCCTGATAAAAGTAAGGATCAAAACAAATTTAAAAGCGAGAAAAATGAATGAAAGTATGAAGGATATAAGAGAAAAGGCATTTACTATGTGTCTTCACTTTCCAACCAAACCGATGTGAAAGATTTTTCCAAGATCTACCTTCCATCGGGGCAACATTCAATAACCTTCCTACCCAACCACGGAAATTGGGAATCTCATCAATAGTTCTCATTGTTGCTGAAAAAGAGGAAAAGGTTAAAAGGTAGCAAGTAAAATAGAGAGAAAAAATAGAAGAAGTTATAAAAAAAACTTACGTGCAAAATTCCACTTCTCAGGAAATGAAACATTTTCTTGACCCACTAAACCAATAGTGGGGGCGACAACAAACCTGGCATACCAGCCACAGTCTTTATCATCCTCGGGGCTAACCAGCACTCTCTTACTTCTCGCTACTAAGGTAAAAATCCCATGGCGAAAAAGTCTGGGAGAATAAAGGTGAAATAAATGGAAGAAAGTAAAAGGCAAACCAGCCATGTTGGCCAAATGCCTTAAGCATGCGACAACCCTCCACACAATGGGGCCAATCTATCCTAAACAAACGTCGAAGAAACGATAGAACTCGATTATAACAGGATCAGTGGGGGGTTTGAAATTCAGTGTGAAAGGGTATATATATACGACAGAAAACCCAGTCAAGTAAGAAGTAATCCTTTGATTTGGATTGGGAATTATAATGGGGAAGTCATGATTCCAATGGAAATCCCTACGAACAACAGAAATCAAACCTTCAGTGATTTGAGATGGGTAAATATCGGCACGATCTAGAGAAGGAACTTGGTTTCTAATGGATTCTCTATCATTGTAAAAATATAGTTCCGCGGGAACAATTTCCTCTACCAATGGTTCACGAATAGGTTCAGTAGAGTCTTTATTTCTGGATGAAGACCTTTGGGAAAGAGAACCTCTAGTTCTAGAGGGTGGAGTTGAACTCGTAGAAGGAAGAGAAGGACCTCGTGAAGATGAAGAACCTAAACTACGAAGTCTTCATCCTCTCATACTTCTAATAGGAGCAAGAGAAAGGCTATCAACAATAGGGACTCTTCGAGGGTTCGGGTTTGTAGAAGACATAGTAGTACGAGGAAGAACAAAACAAGAGTTGAATATTCTAAATCTTTTATGAGAAAGACAAAGATAAAAAGTTATATTTATACTCAGAAGCAACCGTCAAAGGAAAAGGTGCAATGATGAAAATGTCATGATGGAAGCTGTCGTTTCGTAATTGATGAAGTCGTAAAAAAAGTCCTAAAAGGCACTGAAAGGTTGTAGAACCAACCAACGGATGCCACATGTCACGGACATTAAATGGAAGTGACATACAAAGCGCCAGTTCCAGAGAAGAGTTAATGGCGACAAATATTCCCTCTTTAATGAGATCCACTTCCCAAATATTCTATTGATGAATAAATGGCAAGTGGGGGGACTATCTGTATTGGGAAAAATTAAGTTCGTATATAGAATTAATTATAAGATGACACATCATGACACGTGTACCAGTCAAAGGATGACAATTGGCAAAGAATTGATGAAGAGGTACGAGCTTCAACAGACACGGGCAGAGATCTAAGAAAATTAGAAATGATAGATGATCGAACTTCTTAATATTCGGAAGCCGTAACAGAAGAATGAACCTGGATAGCAAAAAGTGGTATAAATATGTGTTATCGATAATTAATTAGCATTAATTACGAAAAACGTTATGGAATCTGTATTAAATCAATTATGATTACCAATTGTAACGTTACATTAAATTCCATTAATTATCCATTATGGCTCTTTTATGAGAGAAACAAAACGTATTACGTAGAGATAGCTATAAAAGGAGGAGTCTAAACATTTGTAAAGGCACGAAATATTGATTTACTTTGCTTTTATATTCAGCTGTTATTCATATCAATTATTCTTATTTCTATTTGATTATCTGTAGCCCGAGTTCTTCTAAAATAAGCTTTGGCCGAAATCCCAATTTTTGATTAAATAGTAACCCCATAAACTTTTCTTATCTAGCAGAAACTGCGCCTGCAACCCAAGTTTTGGCAGTTTACTGTTAGTGACAGAGAGCCAAAATTTGAGAAACTCACGTGCCAACCTTAGATTATACCGTTGTACTATGTTATGACAAAAAGACCTGAACTCTACCTGTCCTGACCTGTATTTTTATGAGATTTTTACACAAATAGCCGGCCGAATTTAATGTCTAGTTTTCTTAGCCGATATACAACGATTATAAACCGATTATTATTTAAGTGGTTAGGTGGTTCATGGTTGGCTATTTAGGTTAATTCTTCTATTTTATAATATAGATCTAAAAGCCCATAAAGTCTGAATTGCCCAATCGTGTTTTTGCATAAAGGCTAGGCAACAAATCAAATATGTAATGATACCCGTCATTAGAGGCGAATCCATAATATAAACTATATAGTTTCTACCTTTAAGGTTCTTAACATTGAACTCATTATATTTCTATATATTTTTTTTTTTTTGTAATGTTAGTGAGTTTTTATACATAATATTTTTTTCTCGTCGAAAGCACCGGTAACATATGAACTATTACGTATAAATTATGAGTCCATAGATTGAATCAATAGATGAGTCATTGCTCAATCTTGCAAAACAGGAGTTAGGATGGGCGGATCAAGATGCGCTAACAATAGGTCAATAATGCCGAACCCGTCCAACATGACCCAAGTGAATAAACTGGATAGTGAATTTGTTCTCCTTGGGTGAGGGAGAATAGCAGCAAAATTGGGTGAGAATAACAGGAGATGTATTGCAACTTGTCGATGGAATATTAGGATTGTGTGATAAGGGTTAGCAGTTAGCTTGCCACAGTTCACTCGAAAGCTAACCCATAATTAATTAAGTGAATTATGACAAGATCACTCACCTTAAGCTTGATGACAGTCCCCCACAATATATATTTAGCCTCTAACTGAAATTTGCAACTACTCAAACTCTATATCAGCAAATCCAGCTTTCAAGGAAGTAATTAATATACAGACTTGTTGCATGAAGAGGTTTCGTGAGGTTATTTACTTATAGCCCATATACTATTCATGCCGAAGTACTGCATATATATAGGTAGTTTTGATCCCTCAAGTTGCCTCAATCAATAAATTCACGACACCAGTCTACTTGTTTATCAGGATCTAAGATCATTCATGGATTTTTCTACTAAGTTTGCTGTGTTCTTTCTCATTATTCCCACCCTCTTTGGTATGAAGGTCTACTTGTGAGATTTACCATAAATTAATTGTGACATGTACCTTTTTTTTTGTTGTTGTTTTAATTACCTAATTAATCAAATATACTTTTCTCTTTCCTATAAATAAATTATTTTTTATCTTGTGCGAACTTAAATTGCTCATACTTTTGCTGGCACTTAAAGTCCTTTTATTCCATTTTCTCTTCAAACAGGTTGGGAAAACATAGAGGGCAACAAACTTTATGTTGGAGAATTTGACCGAAAACTGAAAGCTACAAAAGAGGAGAAAATACAACTAGACTTTTGCAAGCATGTTGCTCACTGTAAAACTGGCAGACCTTGCTATTGCTGTTTAATCTTGGGCAGAACTGATTGCTATTATACAATGCAACTTTGTGAGCAAGGATGTCCCAAATTTCCCCCTCCAACTCCCAAACATCAAATCAAAATTTCCCCATGATCTCATGGCATATATACAGGAGTCGATAACGTTATAGCAAAAATAATATTTTGTTAAACATATATAGGAGTAAGTTTTAAACTAAAAGGAAAAAATTCAGATCCTTGTATGTGAGCTTCTGTCTCAGTAGTAAATCTATCCTTTTATCATTTGATACGTTCACTTATTCCATTCCTGTATGGAGGATCATCTGCTTAAATATATGATTTAATAGGTAATGTAGGTGCAAACACAAAAAGTCTAAAGTAAATGGCTCTTTAGATGGTAAACTATCAAATAAAAGATGAAGCTACAAATGTGGGAATTTACTTTAAATAATCGAGACAATAAATGGAAATTCGTATTACAATACCAGTTTACATTTTACACTATGAAGCTAATGGCCAGAAAAAAGTCCTCTCTTATGCAAATTAGTTCCTTCTGATTGTCTAAATCTAAATCATTATGCAAGGCATATTCTACTTATTATTTTGTTAAATTATTCTCATATCTCCCACATTAAAGGTTGCTACTGGAAACCGTGATTACTTTGAAGTTTTCATGCTTCCTCCCAAAGAAGGCTCAGGATTTAGCTATAAACTTGTTCATCTCCGGGAGATTTGCAGGTATCCAAACTTGTGATTGGTCATCCAAAAAGCTCGTGGAAGACCTGAGATGAAGTCATGAATAAAAGAGGGCCAGAATTTAGAGAGTCTATATATATATATAGATAGATATGGACTCAAAAAAATAACTAACAATTCATTGTTGCTTAATTACCTGTTGATGAACCTCCTAGATAATTCTGATCGTACTTTAAAGGATAAATACGGCTGGCATGCAATTGATTGATCTTGCAACAAGAGACGAGATAGCTCAAGGTTGCCATCGGAGGAAAGGAAGACAAACGAGTTAGTGTTTTCTTTCCATGTGAATCAGACCTTCCGTCTTTTCTTTTTGCAGTAAAACCACAAAACATGCACACAGCAAAAATAACAAGTCATTAGATATAATTTATTAGACTCCACGTCTTTTATTTTTTACGTGAATTTTATAAAGGAAAAAGGCAGATTGACACATCAAAGAATAGAATGAAAGCATAAACGAAGAGAGGAATTACTTACAAACATGGTGACTCATTGATTCAATGTCGAAGAATACATGAAGAGGATTCATGCTAGAATTGGATTCCATCATCGTCATCGTCGTCGTCGTCCTCTTTAGTGTTGGTAGCCCTCATCATCTCTGCAGATAGACTGAGTGGTACTGAGAATGATGGTGATTGATAAAGTATATTACTATATATAGGAGGGACATGAGGCTCTATGGTCAAAAGTTGTTACAAACTTTGCTAAAATAAAATCTAAATTCAAAAGAGAAAATCTGATTACTCCCAATTTTACTACAAATATCAAAGTCTATTTGTTGTAAATTCTAAAATATATAATAAGGTATTATTAGTAAAATCTGATTCCCTTCCAACGATATGATGAATATTTGGTCAGTTATTGATTGTATTCTTTCTCTAGCAATAGTGATGTGACGATCCGGCCAGTCCTGTGATCGAGTTGGTTGGCTAGGGTTCGGAAGGGTTTTGAGAAGGTTTGAGACACTTAGTCTCTTTTGAGGAAGCTTAAGTTGGAAAGATCAACTGTATGTTGACTTATGTGTTAGAGGGCTCGGATGTGAGTCTGATGGTTCGGATAGCTTCGGGAGGTAATTTTGGACTTAGGAGCGTGATCAGAATGTGTTTTGAAGGTCCAGAGTAGATTTAGGCTTGAATTGGCGAAATTGGATTTTTGGCGTTTTCCGGTTGATAGGCGAGATTTTGATATAGTGGTCAGAATGGAATTTCGGGAGTTTCAGTAGTTCCGTTGTGTCATTTGGGATGTGTGTGCAAAATTTCAGGTCATTCGGACGTGGTTGGGTTGGGTTTTTGATCAAAAGCGTAATTTAGAAGATTTTGGAATTCTTAGGCTTGAATCCGATTCGAATTTGGTGTTTTGAGCATTCCGAAGGTTGGAACAAGTTTGAATGATCTTATGTGATATGTTAACATGTTTGGTTGAGGTCTCGGGGGCCTCGGGTGAGTTTCGGGTGGTCAATCGAACCATTTCATGTTTTGAAAATGTGCAGAAAACTGTTGTTTAGTGTTGCAGAGAAATGACCTTCGCGTTCGCGAGTAGGCCCTCGAGTTCGCAAAGAGTTAGCTGGTGAGGATGAGATTTTAGCCTTCGCATTCGCGAAGAAGGCTCCGCATTCGCGAGGGAGGCTCCACGTTCGCGTAGAGTAAGTTGGGCAGCTGGGTTTGAGGTTGATTTGTTCATCGCATTCGCGAGAAGGGGAGCGCGTTCGCAAAGGTCAGGTTGAGGAACCATCACGTTCGCGAGGGACTGGTCGCGTTCACGTAAGAGTAAAATTTGGTCAAAGTTAGATTGTGCTTCACGAACGCGAGGCATTGACCGCATTCGCGAAGAAGGAATTGAGGCCTCGGCAGAATGTTTAAATAGTCATCTTGTCCGCGATTTTGGGGTTAACTTCCACCATTTTTGAGCGATTTGGAGCTCTTTGAAGAGGATTGAAGAGGGATTCAAGGGAAAATACTTGGAGGTAAGATCTATGGACTTAATACTCGATTCTAATGTGAATTCTACCTAATTAATTACTAGGGCTTGTAATTGGAGACCTAGAATTTGCGATTTGAGGGGTCGTTTGTGGTTGGATTTTGATGCTTTTGGTATGAATGAACTCGGGGAGTGATAAGGAGTCCATTGATGTAATTTTAATCGGAATCCGAGACATGGGCCCGGGGATCGGGTTTGGCCAATTTCGGGATTTTTGTTGTAATTTGATTTCTTTTGAGTGGGCTTTGTTTCCTTAGCATATTTTGATGGTTTTACACTGATTTTGGTTAGATTTAGAGCATCCAAAGGCCGATTCTAGGGGCAAAGGCATCGCGAGCTAGAGATTTGGACCGGGTAGAGGTGAGTAGTGATTGTAAATGTTGTCCTGAGGGTATGAAACTCCGGATTTGCACATTATTGTGCTATATTGAGGTGTAGCACATGCTAGATGACGAGCGTGAGGTCGTGCACTGTTGGGGATTGTGACTTAGTCCATCCCGAATGATTATTTTACTGCATATTTGACTGAAATCTATTTGCTATCATCATGTTTTGGCTGAATGCCATACTTGAGCCTCGTGCCAACTATTTGAACCCTTAGGGTATTTATACTGATATTTTCCTCACTATTTTGACTTTATACTTGTACTCAGTCATGCTATATTCTACTGTCTTCATAACTCAGCCATGTTTACCCTGCTTTAACACTTAAAATGATATTTTAAAAGATATTTGGGCTGAGCATCATGTTTTACTGTTGCCCGAGTGGCTTGTGAGATTCTGACTGAGTAAGGCCGAGGGTCTATGTTGTGAGGAAACATTGATTATGATTATAAGGCTGAAGGCCTGAGATTTGTACACCACAGGGTGGCTTGTTGATATGAGGCCAAGACCCTATGTGATTATGCCATGAGATGGCTTGATATTGCACTTGGGCTGTAAGGGGACCCTCCAGGAGTCTGCACACCCCCAGTGAGCGCGGGTACCCATTGTGATGTGAGATATAGCCCGAGGGGCTGGTATTGTTCCATGTGTTGCCTGAGGGGCTGATTCTATGGTATTGTGCCCGAGGGGAGGTTCTTTATGTGTTTACCTTTCCTAATTGCCTGTCATTTACTTGCTTAACTGTTAAAAGGCATTCCAAATAATTTTTAACTGAACTAAAGTGACTTTACCTATTTTTCACTGTTTTATTACTTTTATTGGCTTTTACTGCTTCTTTATAGTCTGTTGTTGTGCCTTTACATGGCTTCTTATTACTCAGTCTGCATTTATTATTATTACTCACTGAGTTGGAGTACTCACTTTACTCCCTGCACTCCGTGTGCAAATTCAGGCGCATCAGGTCCTACTTGCGAGGGTTGAGAGATGTCCAACAGATTTCCGGAGATTCACTAGGTAGCTGTCTGGCGATTCGCAGCCCAGTGCTTCTCCCTCTATGTTATTTTCCTCTGTTCTAATTATGTAATAGGTATGTAGACTCTTTTCAGATTTGTAGTTTTTACAATAGATGCTCATGACTGGTGACACCCCGATGTCGAGCTGTGTTGTACTTATTTTCCTCAATTGTATTGTTTTACCTTATCTTTTTTGGAGATTATTATGTTTAAGACTTAATTGTATTATCTTAACTACTTAAAAATGAATTGGAAGTGTGTCGGCTGGCCTTGTCTTCACGAGAGGCACCATCACGACCGGGTCTAGGTTTAGGGTCATGACAAGTTGGTATTAGATCCTAGGTTACATAGGTCTCACGAGTCATGAGAAGGTTTAGTAGAGTCTCGCTAATCGGTACGGAGATATCTATACTTATCCTCGAGAGGCTGCAGAACTTTTAGGAAAAAAATTTCATATTATTGAAATTCTTGTCGTGCGAATTTGTTGATCCAAGTACTAAACTTCTATTATTCTACTCTCTCACGGATGGTGAGGACACGCGCTACCGGTCAGGATGGACGACCGCCAGTACCACTAGCTGTGGACACTAGAGGTTGAGGACACAGTCGTGGTCGTGGTCGCGGTATGGGCAGGGGTGTGGCCCGCACAACAGCTAGGGCAGCACCTGCAGATCCACCAGCCGCCCCAGTTCAAGATCAGGTCCCAGCTGTGGACGGTCCATCAGCATCAGCTCAGGCACCAGCTGTGCCTATTGTGATTCCGGGTCTTCAGGAGGCCTTGGCTCAGATTCTATCAGTTTGCACTGGCCTATCTCAGGCGGTCTCAGCTACTATAGCTGCAACTACTTCTCAGGTTGGGGAGGCACTCAGACTCCCGCCGTTTGCATACCTGAGCAGGTCGTGCAGGGACTCCAGACACCGAGGGTGCATCCAGCCCAGCCGGTTACAGCTGTTGGTGCAACATCCTTTGCCTGGTAGCAGTTCTCCGTTCTCTTTTTGGAGAAGTATGTGTCGCAATCTCGCAGAGATGAGCTGAGCAGGTAGTTTGAGTGGTTGCATCAGGGAGAGATGACTGTGATGCAGTATGAGATGAGGTTCTCTAAGTTAGCTCGCCATGCGATTTGGTTGGTTTCGATAGATAGAGAGAGGATCAGGAGGTTTGTTGATGGCCTCACTTATCAGCTTTGTATTCTTATGACCAGAGAGAGGGTGACTGGTGATACTTTTGAGGAGGTTGTAGACATTGCTCGTGAGATTGAGTTTGTTCGACACCAGGAGCGAGAGGAGAGGGAGGCCAAGAGGCCAAGAGGCCAAGAGGATCTGGTAGTTATGGCGGTGCTCCTTCGAGAGGTCAGTTTTAGCACAGCAGGGGCCGTCCTTTCAGGCATGCTCAGCCAGCTAGCCCAGGGTATCGTAGGGCATCATCGGGTCATGGTTATCATAGTTCTCATCAGGGCCAGTCATCACTTAGTGCCCTTCCAGCTTAGAGGTCATCCCGTGCTCCATCAGTTCAGGGCTATTCTATGTCGGGCACATCTGCTAATCATTCCGGTGCTAGGAGTTCCCTTCAGTCCCTTTCTCCAGTACCTGAGAGTTGCTATGAGTGTGGAGAGATGGGTCATATATGGAGGAAGTGTCCTCATCGTCTTGCAGGTTCATCTTAGTAGAGGAGCCAGCCATCGACTTTAGCACCAGTTACTTCACCACCACCTGCCCAGCCAGCAAGGGGTGGAGGTCAGTCAGCTAGGGGTCACCCTAGAAGGGGAGGTCGATCAGGTGGCGGTCAGGCCCATTTCTATGGACTTCCAGCTAGACCCGATGTTATTGCTTTTGATGCTGTTATTAAAGGTATTGTCTTAGTCTTGCATAGAGATGCTTTTATATTATTTGATCCCGGTTCCACCTTTTCTTATGTGTCATCATACTTTTTTTGTCATTTGGATACGCCCCGTGAGTCTCTTGTTTCACCTATTCATGTATCTACCCCGGTGGGCGATACTGTTGTTGTAGACCGTGTGTACCGATCGCGTGTGGTGACTATTAGGGGTCTGGAGACCCGAGTGGATCTTTTACTATTATGTATGGTGGATTTTGATGTCATTTTGGGTAAGGATTGGCTATCTCTGTGTCGTGCTATTCTGGACTGTCATGCCAAGATAGTCATATTGGCTATACCAGATGTACGACAAATTGAGCTGCGGGGGTTGACTGATTATGTGCCCAGTAGAGTAATC